TATATAATTAAAAAATAAAATTTACTATAATATTATATATATTTATAAAATTAATTTAAAAAAAAAATTTTAATTTTTCATATAAGTAAATCAGAAAAGAATTTATAATAAATAAGCAGGCAAATTTGCTTGCGAATCTCTACAGTTTAAGGGATAGGTACTTACGTTATTTTTTCCTATTTTTATCAAAATTAATCATAATTTCTGCTTAATATTAAAGTATTTTAATACATAATTAGAAAGATTTTAAATATAATCATCTATATAGAACTCAAAAAGATAAGTGTCTCTATTTCAAATAATAGCTTGATTAGATAGAATTACAACAATGTAATTCTATTATTATCATAGTTATCTAAAGTAATACATAATTTACTAATTATTTGTTAATTATTTTCTTACTTATATAAGAATCTTAAATTTTAAAATATGAGACAATATTCATCATAGACTTATTAGTAAAGTCTAAGCATTTGTCATTACATGACTTTATTTACATTTACTTATTCTTAAAACCCTAGTATTTAAGTATAATCATATTGATTGATAGATGATCAATTAATTTCTAATATATATTATATATATTTTTACATATTTAGTTAAATATAAAATTCTTATGAAAAATTATCTAGTTTTTATATCTTGGCTGAGATCTGAACTTTGTAGTTTTTGTAGTATAATCTATAAAAAGGACTCAGTTTTTACAAACTAAGATAGAATTACCAATCTTATTTAATTTTATTAAATAAAGTTCTATCTCTATTGATATAAGTTTAGTATCAATCAATTTGTAGATCTTTCTTTTGATTCTTATTCTTTTCTTATTAATTTAATTCTTAATTTTCTAATTTTAATTTCTATTTCCTTTTCTTAATAAATCTAATTTTTAGTTTTTAATTTTAAGGATCATTATGTATTTATTAAATATATTATTATGCGTCTCTATAATATTATTATTATATTATTTTTATTTTTAGATATTCTTTTACTAATTATAATTTTATTTTCTTTATTTCCTTTAATTTTATATTAAACTTTTTTTTTTTTTTCATATTTAAGTATATTTATTTTTTCTTTTTAATATTTCTACTAATTTTCTTTTTAGTATTATAAATTATACAAGCATCCTATGATCTTAATTTGTTAGTTTTTTTATTTGAACCTTTATGTAATATTTATATATATTCATAGATTTCTTTTTTTTTCTTCTTTCTATTTTAAAAGTTTTTTAGCTATTTTCTCTTTTCATGACTTTGATTATTTGTATTTCAAATCTTGTGATTTATCTTATATTTTATTTCAGTTATTGTATTTCTTTTCAGTTATTGTATAACATTTTGACTATCATATTACTTTTTGTTATTATATAACATTTAAATTATTGTATTATATTTTAGCTATTATATTATATTTCAATTCTTCTAATTATATTATAAGATTTGTATTACTTTTTTAGTTATATTATGTTTCATATGACTGTATTGTTTAATAGTTATATCAGATAATTTGTGTTGTGTTACATAATTTTAGTTAATTACTCATTTAATATCATGTAATTTCCTAGTTAATTATTTTTTCTTCATAAACCTTTATTTGATTAGTTATTTTCTAATCTATTAGTATTATAATTTTTTTTAATTTTTATTTATTTATTATAAAAGATCACATAATATATTATTTTTGACTCTATAATATTTTACCAAAATTTAAAATAAATTTAGATAAACTAGTAATAAATAATCATTATAAGATTGCAACTAATTGCTATATTATTTTTAATCATAATTTCTTTTAATTTAGATTTATTAATCAATTTTATTAATAAAAATATTATTTTTAATATAATTTAGAGTTTAAATTTTTAAGTATTTAATATTTTATTTAACATTTAGATTTTATTTAATAACTTAAATTATATATAAGATTTATAAAATACACAAAAATAAGTTTTATAATTTTATAGATTCTTTAAATAATTTATATTTTTATATTTTTATAATTACTGAAATATTTATAAATAACTTTAATAAAATAAAATTATCTTTAATTTTTTATAATTGAATTGAAATATTTATAATAAAAATCAATTTAATGATAATGATAATTAGAAATATAATAAAATCAAAATTCCAATGTTTTATAATAGTTTTTATTCAATTAAATGAGACAAAATATATTTAAGTATCCAATATACAACATATACAATTATAATTTACTCTTTTAATTAAATTATCTTATCGTTATATTTAATAAATTACAATTCAATAAGGAATTATTAGTACACGCTTATTGCAGATATAAGTTGGAATATACCAGCAATTATTTTTAGCATGTATTATAAATGTTCCTCATTAATAACATACAAAATTAATATCATAATAAACCATTTTAAAAAAACAATAAACTAAATAGATATTAATTTAAAACAGAGTTCACTGTATTATTCGTAAAAGTTAGGTTCATCTTCAGAAAAGAAATAAGAATAAGCAAGAACTAAAAAAAAAAAATTATTATTTGATTGTTTGAAATTAGATTACGTAAAATAAATTACCCACTTGTAAAATAAACCAAAGATCCTCCCGAGATACTCATTATCATCGCGGAAAACTTTATCTATAAAAAGAAAATTCAAATTATATCAACTATTAAAATAAATTTACCTAAAATAACAACAAAGACTTACTACTTCAATATGAGACAAAACAATTGGCAAACCTAAAATCAATAATTAAACCAATAAACAAACTAGGACAATTTAGATATCGATATTACTAAAATAAATTTTTGCTGCTTACAAATTCCAGAAACAATTACAATGGATGTCAAAAATTTCCCAAAATCCTTAAATCCATTACTAAAAATAAAAAAAAAAAAGTTGATTAAAGTTATGAACACAAATTTTTATATCTTTATAAAGAATAATTTTTAAAAAGTTCAACTTTGTTCGTTCTCCTAAATAAAATTCGTCATTGCTCGTAACTTTTGAAAAAATTACGTTTGGTAATGGAGCGATCACAAAGGTTGCAACTAATTTTTTTTTTTTAAAAAAAAAGAAAATACAAATTATATAACAAGAATTTATTCATAAGCAACACAAATATTAGATCTATTATCTGTTTAACATACCAACAAACAATGGCCACCAATTCCTAAACAAAAAAAAAAAAATATGAATATTAACCAATTTCATTAAAGTATATATAATACACAAAATTTTTCCAATCCCGAAAAATATATACTCATATAATGCTCCTGATAAAATGACGAGCAAAAATCCGCAAGCCAGAACGAAAGACAAGCCAATAATCCTATAAAAATTTTTTTAAAAACAGAAAACAATGAGAAAGAAATAGAACGGAACTCTATTAAAGAAAATCAGAATTTCGTTCTTCTACTCGACTATTAGTTTTTAAGTATGGCTATTTGTATCCATTGCTTACGCTAAATATAAAGAAGCAAAACTTTATTAAAATCGATAAAATGGCATTAAATCTATTATTATAAAAAAGGGGTATCATACTTTTTAAACCTGCCATTTTTATTTTAACTTTATTAACTGTCTCTAAGTTGTATTATAATGGAAAAATCGTTTTTCACTATATAAATACATGAATTATTGTGTCATTGTAAATACAAATAAAAGAACTTGCCAATTTAAAAAAATCACCCATGCATGTCAGACAAGGTTTAACTGCATTTGTTGAATTTATCGCAATAAAAGGAAATGAGTGGCTTGCAGCCACTACAATAAAAGTCTTTTTGACTTCCCTTTCCTCTCTTAACAAATAAATAAGAAAATTATAAAACTTGAAACTCTCTTTTTTTGCACAACCTTTTTTATAACCAGAATATTATAACTTGACTCCCTTCTAAAATTTTAACCTTTTCACTCATTGTATGCTGTAATTTTGTCTCTTCATGCCTTCAGAAAAGAAAAAACGCGTTTTACCACCACTCCCTACAGGATTAGATTTCAATACTCCACCGAAAGATAGTTTAGTTGAAGATTTAAGATACGCGCTTGAACATGCAAAAGAATTATACTCCGACATAGCATGGGATTTTACTGTAGCACTAAACCAAACTAACATCTATGCACACAAAGGTATTATTTAATTTCCACTTATATTTACTACGCCACTATTCGTTGACAGTGGCATTATTCACAGTTTTCGGAAAGCTCTAAAAACTAGTGACTCCGAACATTCAATTAAATTTATTTATATTATATTTAATTGAATAAATTTATATAGTAAATTTTTTTTCTTTGTAAAATAAAAAAAAAATTGAATGGATTAGTAAATTTTATTCTTACATTTTCGACTTATTTTTTCATTTTCTTATTATTATTATATGAATGAATCATGACATTAATTTCAGCTATCTTGTATGCTCGAAGCTCACGCTCCTTTCAAGAACGATTCTTGAAAAATAAAGATGCGAATGGGATGTCCATACGATCAGTTCGATTATCAAACCCAGAACCAATAATTGTAAAGACTGCTGAAGACCCATTCTTTTTTCGACAGGAATTAAGGTTTTTTTATACCGGTGAAGAAGGCAGTGAAGAATTTTTAGCTGCTGTTGATACTACAGATGAGCTCGAACAGGATAAATTAAAAGAAGATTTATTATATATGCTTAAATCTAAATTATATACAGATGTTGAATTAGTCTTGGACCGCTCTGATGATATTCTTGATATTATTGAAGAAGATGAAGAAATTAAGCCTATAACAGTTCGTGCTCACAGATTCATGTTGTATACAAGATCTGAATACTTCAAAAAGATGTTTAGTTCTAATTTTATCGAGGCTCGATCATCACATGTTCACCTTGATAATAGCATTTTTACCCAAACATCACTCAATTTAATTTTGACATTTATTTATACTGGTAATCTTTCATCTCCTTCAAAACCCTTGACGTTGGAAACTTGTGAATTGGTTTGGATCGGGGCTGATTTTCTTGGTATAAAGTTACTTTGTGATGAATGTATATACAGAATTGCAGATAAGTTACATCATTTCACTTGTACTTGCGCTGAGTGTCAAGCAGTTGTACCAGGAGTTGCTGCTTTTGCAAAGCAATATGAAGTTGATATATTATGGCAAGGATGTTTGCATGTATTATCACACGGATTTGATAAAATGTGGCCTCAAAAAGCTTTCGCCGAACTTGATGAAGATACACGAGAGGAGATTCTCTTAACAGTTCTTTCCAGAATACAAAATAATAATATTATGGCTATTTTTAAAAGTTGTCGGAAGGTTTTATCGATGATTGAAATTAAAGGTATAGGATTGCCTTGGATAGAAACTATACGTGAAATGACTATGCAGGTTCAGTTGTATACTACTCAAATTTTGGTAGAAAATTTTGAACAACTTTGCGATGATGATCAAGAATTTCTGGATTGTGTAGACGGTATTGGATTTAGTTCGGATTTATTAGAGGACATGATGTATACAATAATTGAAGAAGGTTTATCTGAGCGAAATGCCGCGCGTGTATTAAAATGCATTACAGAAAAGTTATTGACCAGACAAGCAATAATGAATACGGAAAGTTTTGAAACGAAACGAGTATTAATACAAGCAAAGCAAAAGATTTTTGATTATATAAAAAAGCGATGGATTAGTGTGAAGCAAAATGGTGGTTTTAGAATATTAAGTCCATGGTTATTAGATGAATTCTCAAAAGGTAAGGAACAATCATTATTTGAGAAAATTTTTTATTCGTACTAAAAGTTACACTATAATAATCTTATTTTCTATAGAACTTGGTGTTACAAATCAAGAATTACAAGAACTCGCAGATCATAAAGATACTAAACCTAAGGTCAGAACACCAAGTATAACGAATGGTCTTTCCAAAAAATCAAGAGAACCATCACCTTCCCCTACACCCAAAGTGGTTAAATCGATAGTCACACCACCAGAAATTGTAACAACGCCCCCTCATTCAAATACACCAATAATTTCAACAAATACAACAACAGTTTCAACAAATACAACGACAGTTCTAACAAATTCAACGACAGTTTCAACAAATGCAACGACGATATCAACAGAAGATACAGACACTTTAACGACAAACGTTAGTCCTAGTTCTGAGCCCGCTTCAAACGGAAATGGCTTAAGTCATTCAACGTCAAATTCATCATTGTCTTCCGTAAATTCAAGTTCACAATCATCTCCTTTAGCAGAATCATCGTCAGATACCACTTCAAAAACAAAAGTGACAACCAGTAATGTTACTAAAAAGGGCAAAAATGTACGTATTGGTGGAACCACAACGGCTCCTGTGTGGGCACGTCCAACTCGTGCTAGCGTATTACGTCAAAAGGCTCTCGCAGAGTCTTCCGTAAAGAATCCAGTCAAACCACGAACGAAATCTACATATTCAAAACCCGTTACCTCTGCATATGCACAATCCAAATTAACCACATCATCAACACCTAAAACAAAAACGACAACGACGACAACAACAACACAACCACGACCCACCTCATCTTCATCTGCGTCTAGTCTTAGAGTACCTAATGGCTCTTCGACTTCACAAAGAGGTCGGTCTTCTGCTAAGCAAAATGCTTCAGCTGCATCTTCTCGTGCAAGTTCAATATCATCCGTGAAATCTCTAACTTCACCTTCCGTTTCACCATCACGGTTTTCCGGTGTAAGACAAACTCGTTCTAGTTTGTTACGTAAACTTAAATATGATGACGCAGAACAACGCCGTGGTCGAGACACTGAACGTGATACTTCGCCAACATCTTCCAGAGCTAGCTCTATCGCTTCTGTTTCATCTATTACTAGTAATACTACTACTTCATCTCATCACAGGAGGAAACGTTCACCATCACAAAATTCATCATCTACTTCAATTACTTCTAATTCAAGTGCAATCACTAGTTTACAACCAAAACCTCATCAAACAAAATTAGCAACTATTCCAAATCCAGACATTTCTGTAGGAAGACGTATAATACTTCCAACCAAAAACAATGCACCTGGAGCTATACAATTTTTGGGGGAAACAGAATTTGCTAAAGGTATATGGGTTGGAATAGTATTAGACAATCCTGGTAAGAAAGAAATGTATTATTAAAAATCATAAATTTATAAAAAAAATTTTTATTAATCAAATTTTCTTTTTCTTTAGTGGGTAAAAATAATGGCGTAGTAGCAAATACTAAATATTTTACGGCAGGCCCTAATCATGGAATATTTGTTAGACCAGATTCACTATTATTGATATAAATTTACGAGTAATTAACAGTTAATTAAAGAGTAAATTAATGTGCCCAAAAAGATTCATGTAATTATTACGAACGTTTATTTTAATGCATACACTCCTTTGAAATTATCTATCTATACATACAATACAGATTTTATTATTTTTTTTTAAAAAAAAGTTTACCTACCATTATATATTCTTTCAATTTTATACTTCAATTTTAATCAATATTATATTTTCCTTAGATAGATATATATATATATTTTTTTTCTGTTATATAATTATTTTTTTTAAAAAAAGTTATTACATTATTTATTTTATTTTATCACTTACTAATCACTTTTTTGTATTATACAGAATTTTTTGTTAAATTTATCAAATTTTATCAAATTTTATCAATCTCATTTATTTTCACTCAAAAAAGGATGGTTGATTGAGATGAAAAAATATGAGAACAATGGGAAAAATAAACAAGGCCAACAATTATAAAATATAGTTTCTGAAACCTTTTTAAAATGATCACGTGATTAAGCAATAATGTTATAGATTAATTTATCATTTGATTCCAAAAGATCCAAAATAATCAAATAAAAGTATAATTAATGAATTCAATTCATCCAATTATGTTAAAATATAGGTAAATATAAATTACCATGATTTACGCTAACCTTCCAAAAATAATGTAAATTAAATTATTTATTCTTATTTATAAAATACCAGGAGAAAGACCAGGAGCCGCTGAAGATAATTTTGATAAATCTTTATCTGGAGTTGCTATAGCATAAGATCTCATACGAGCCTCTAATTCTGGTCTAAAATGACGGATTAACCCTTGGACTGGCCAAGCAGCAGCATCACCAAGAGCTAGTAATGCAAACAAATGTATTGAATCAATTAATCAAAGTTCTACTCGTATCGATACAATTTTGACACTATACAAATGTTAATAAACGTACCACAAATAGTATGACCCTCAATTTGTTTGGTTAATTCTTCGATCATATCAATCTCTCTAGGAACAGCATACCCTTTTTCGAAACGTGACATCATATTCATAAGCCAGCCTGTCCCTTCTCTGCACGGTGTGCATTGACCACAACTTTCGTGTTTATAAAAAGCAGATAACCGAGAAATTGCTGATACTATATCAGTGGATTTATCCATAACTATGACAGCAGCTGTACCTAACCCAGATTTAACATCACGTAATGCATCAAAATCCATTCTAATAATGGAAATTATTTTTGTTAATGAGGAAATTTATATACGTCGTAAACTACTACTATATTACAAGTATGCTTACAAAACGTCATCGCAAATACTTTTTGGTAAAACGGGAACGGATGAACCTCCAGGTATAATAGCAAGAAGATTATCCCATCCGCCACGTACTCCACCGCAGTGACGTTCGATCAGTTCTTTAAGAGGAATACTCATTTCCTCTGACAAATTTTTTTTTTTATAAAAAGGTAATATTAAAGTTAGCAATTTTTTGTGAGCGGCCTATTAGAAACATAACTGTGGTACTTTTATAATTACCCTCAACAGTGCAAGGGTGATTCACGTGACCAGAGATACAAAAGAGCTTGGTTCCACTGTTCTTTTCACGACCAAAGCTGGCGAACCATTTGCCACCTCTGTTAATCAAATAAAGCAATTTTAAAACCGTCAACAATTGAAACTTTATAAATATCACACATTGAATTTTGATATTACCGTCTACAAATAGTAGGTGCCACTGCCACAGTTTCCACATTGGCTACTGTAGTTGGGCAACCGAATAAACCTACATCAGCAGGGAATGGTGGTTTTAACCTGGGTTTGCCTTGTTTTCCCTCAAGGGATTCGATCAAGGCAGTTTCTTCTCCACAAATATAAGCCCCAGCACCACGGTGAATATATACATCAAAATCGTAGCCAGATCCACAAGCATTCTTGCCAATAAATCCAGCTACATTATATGACAGAAATATTACGTTAAAATAATATATTAAATATGAATTCATGATGAATTAGGACCAACCTGCATAAGACTCATTAATTGCTTCTTGTAAATTAGAGGCTTCGTTATAGAATTCACCTCTAATATATATGTATGCTATTAAAAATGACAATGACGATGATTTAATTTTTTTTTTTTTAAGAAATTCTTCAAATATTATTACAATAAATTAAATTCAGTACCTGCTGTTGCATTCATTGATTTACCGGCAACTAGACAACCTTCAATCAATTTATGAGGATCACCTCGCATAATCTCACGATCCTTGCATGTACCTGGTTCTCCTTCATCAGCATTAATAACCAAATATTTCGGTCTATAAATTCAAAAAGTAAAATAATTTGAATGATCGATTAAAATCATAACTTTTGAAAAAAAAAATGGTTTACCTGCCATCCGGAGGTTTATTCATAAAACTCCATTTTAGACCAGATGGAAAACCGGCACCACCACGACCTCTTAAACCCGAGGATTTGATTTCCTGTAAAATAAATTCATGACCTTTCTCAAGTATCTCTTTCGTTTTATACCAATCTCCACGCTTTAGTGCTCCTTTTAGTCTAAAATCATGACGTGAATATAAATTTGTAAAAATACGATCTTGGTCCTTTAGACCCCCATAAGTACGACTAACAGGTTGTGAGTTTTGAATGGTGGCAAAGTTTGAAAGACCCTTAAAGTTCGTAATTCGAGCTATTGTAGGTCGAAGACAAGCTGTTTGGAACGCTAAACAAATTTTCAGGTATTGATTTTAATATATTAAATGTTACTCAGAAGATTAAATAGATCTCGGAATAAGAGAACACTAAAGTATGTACTTTTATTTATGAGACACCTTTTCAACATTTTAAATGTTCGTTTATAATGGAAAAGACAATTAAAAATGGGATCAGTTTGTATACAACTGTAATTAGATCAACATAAACAGATTAAAATTTTGAATTGACAAGCATATGATTCAATCACGTGAATAATGACATTGTGTATTTTTTAATAAATTAACAAAACATTTAAATTAATTAATAAGAATCTAATTTTTTAATTTGTCAAAAATCTAATTTGTTCTTTGAAATATTAAAGATTAGATTTTATGAATTAAATTACAAAGAAATAAATATAACCTAATTTACAACGATTTTACATGCAATTTGTTCAAAAAATATAAGGTCATGATAAAGTCAAACAAGCTTGTCCGACTACAAGTGTTCCGGGTGGAGTGTGTCCTACTCTCTCCATTATGTCAGAAATAGTACTCAAAGTTCCTCTTATTTCTCTTTGATCCGTGCAACTCGCTCTTTCTATAACGACACAAGGACAATCAGAAGGATAATTGCCTTCATTTATAAGTACTTTTGTTATGTCTTTAATTCTATGACAAGCCATTAAAAATACTGTTGTACGAGCTGGATGATAAGTTGGAATTTCTGGTAAAGTATTATTTTTACCAGTACCTGTACAAACAAGGAATTGTGATGCGACTCCACGATGTGTAACAGGAATATTTGCTAATAAGGGAGCAGACATACAAGAGGAAATACCGGGAATTACTTGTGGGATATAACCATGAGATCGGAAAAATAGAAATTCTTCTCCACCCCGACCAAATAAAAATGGATCTATGAAAAATAAGAACTTATTAATTTTTTTTTGAAAAATTTTTTTTTTTTTTTTTTGTAATTTATAATAAATTTGTTTTCTACTAACCACCCTGTTTTAATCTGACGACGACTTTTCCTTGTTTTAAAGCCTCAAGGGCTACTCGATTAAGTTCAGCTTGAGCGGCTTCAACGTTAGCACAAAATTTCTTCGCGGCGACAAAAACTTCAGTATTATGTGGAATTAATTTTAACACTTCTTTAGGTACAAGTTTGTCAGATAATATTAAATCGGCATCTTGAATTGCTTGGTACGCAGCTAGCGTCAACAAATTTGGATCACCAGGTCCGGCACCAACAAGTTTCATCTTTCCACCATTATTATTCATGTGTGATCTGTGTTTATCAGAACATCTAGTCACGTGATTTTGATATTGTGGATTATTAATCACCTTATGCATAAGATGATCTTTTAAGAATTCTGCTAATTCGCTCAATTTTAATTCTTCTGCAGCGTTGAGAATATTAATAATGTCATTGCTAGTAGCAGTCTCGGTAGAAATTCTACCAGTGTACATATATCTGAAAGCACATTGAAAAAAAGGTTAGATAAAGTTTCCGCAACAAAAAAAAAAAAAAAAAAAAATTATTATAAGCTTACTTTAATATTACTTCAAATACAGGAGGAGAAATATTTGGCTCTTCTAAATAAATCAAATCTCCATTTTTCATAAACATATTCTTTTTAAAAATATTTTTAAAATATGGAGAAACAGCTTTCAAAATAATAGAGTGTGCTTTAAAACATTTTATCCCCGTTGATGATTCATCGCCAACACGAATAATCGTATTAAATTCATCATCGTCAAGTAATTGTTCGATTTTTAAAGAAAATTGAGATAATAACTTATTAGATGTCATGATGATTATTTAATCGTTGAAGATTTAAAAAAATATTTTTTGTTGAGTGGCAAGAAGAAAAGAAAATATTATGGTGAGGGTTGACTTTCGGTCCTTTTAAAGTGTAATTTATAACTTTACCCCCTTATGGATAAACATCGGAATATGATAAACTTTGAGTGATTATCGTTTTCATTTCGTGTAATTCCGTTATCATTATCAGGATTCATTTTTTTTTACATAATCTATCAATTGTTTATTGTTTTATTTTTATTCAATCGACATCTGATAGACAATGTTTTGCTTAACTAATAGAACAAATAAATAAGTGAATACCATAAAAAGAAAAAGAATTTAATAACGGCTGAATTCTTTTTTCTTTATCTTATCTACTTTTACGTCTTATCAGATCGATTTGCTGCAAGAATAATAAGATAATGTACTAAAAAAAGACAATTACGATAAGACGATTGTAAAAAAAAAAAAATGATGGATAATGAAAAAAAAATTGTTCTATAAAAAAATA